GTGCCCAAAGTCATACACAAGAGTCCGGTAGATGTGCTATGGAGCCGTCCAAGTGCCGTCAAAGTACGGTTGCTGTTACAAGGCCTGCTCCAGTTTGGCGCATATACGTTGCGGATACGTCAAGTTGTGCCATAGGCAACGATACAAAAGCGCGCGTGAAAGGTGTAACATCTGGCAGATGCGTGCTCTGCAGCGCTTGCGTCGGATCAAACTTGTCCAACAGTGCCTTCCGCCGCCATGGCGTGTAGTGGCCTTGCGAGTTGTGTAAAAATGAATGCTGATGATGACTTTGCACACGAGGGAATTTCGAGACTAGATTGATCGCGACAATCGAAGCTAACGGTGTTTGAGGATCGCCAACCCGTAACAAGTGCTGCAGGTGCTGCATTGAGTCTCCGTGTTGCTTATGGACCCCTGGACTCTTACGAAAGTGATTGAAATGCAGTCAGCCCCATCTGTGCATTGTTGAGCATACCATTATGCAGAGTAGCACGTGGCGGAATGCAGGTGTTTTGACAAACCGCAGAACAATGAACGTCCGGGGCTGGCGCCGCGAGGATTCAATACAGCGATGCATCACACCATTTCGCGTTCACAATTCTACCAGTGACTGCTGGGTCGGCTCCATGGAACGCTGCGTAATCTCCGAGTGAGTAGTGAATAGAACTGGCTGTGGAGATAGCGCCGCTAGGAATTCGCACGGGCTCAATCGGTCAATCTCAAGGATAGAAGTTAGACCTGTAAGAACATAGGTCTGTGCGAGCGACGCGAATCGCTCCTGTACAGAAACAATGTAGGGGTTTCGGGCATTGCTCTCCCCAAAAGGGGCAAGGTGAAATACATCCAACACTGCCACATCAGAGAATTTCACCGTTACCATTTTGCTCCGCAGTTTTTCAACAGACCATTATGCATCATGGTAGCCGCCGGAATGGCGACTCAAATCAGTTAGCATGGCCTCAAAAGTCGGTTTCCGCCACAGCGACTCATGCATCCTGGGCTGCTAGATGTCGCGAGCAGTCCAGAGACCCTCGCCTTGCCAAACGTTAAGTTGCTATACGGACGGGTTGAATATGCCGCGGTAGATGCGGATTTCATGTTGGGTATCGCGTTATCTAGCTTATATATGACCAATGTGTTGAGTAGATTATCGAAAACTTATTTGCATCTGCAACCGTACACAGGCACCGTATCATCCACATCAGCATGCCTTTCTTATTCGGAAAGCGAAAGGCGAATACGAAGGGAATAAAAATACCGCACGGTGGCATGAACAATTCAGCGTGGTCGCGATGTGGGAATACAATGTGGTCTTTACCTTGGCGTTCCTTGCAAAGTGCATTAGAGTCCCGTTGTCAGAGTAGAACTGCCAATTCCCTGTGGGCCGAGACCCCTCGTGTGTGCGGAACACAGCAGTAAATGCGGCCAATTCAAACCACCTGCATGAAGGACACCGATGTAATAACACATCATTAGTTTTGTGAGCCGCAGGTGGAGTTTAAGCGACTTTTTAAGGGCTGGACTTCGCTGGTTCTGTAAATCCACAATCAAACGGAGCAGGGCTACGTCGCTACGTGATGTTCTCCGCCCTCGATAGCAATCGGTGTTTGACCCACAGCAGGTTGGAGACAGCACTCTCAAATTCAGATGCTTTATCGACCGTGGTGCACCAACACCGTGAATCGCATGGCGTTGAGGCAGCACATACGCACAGAGTTGATACCCATTATACCTGAGAAGCAGCTCCTTTGACCTCCTAATTTCCACGCCATGCCTTCTGATGGACATATAACCGCCAATGTCGCCGTGAGTGAGGGAGTGGCCGGATATCCCACTGGACAGCATTCCAACAACAGCTGATTTGATTCCATTGTGCTCTTCCCATGTAACCAGCTGATCTCCCAGCCAAAACAGCTTGGAGTATCTCGGGCTCCGAGTGAATCCCGATCGAGTAAAGAACACAACATCTTCTTCAAGGCCCCATTCTTCAATGGCTTCAAGGTTGACCTTCGCCCATTCTTCTGGATACACGTTGTGAAACTCATTGCCAGACACCTGTTTGACCAAACTACCCTTTTCATCAAGCAGTAGCCTGCGCCTCAGCGTCACTAAAAATCCTGATGGTCATTTCGAGTGCATTACTTTGTTTATCCGTCCGATGCTCGACTCTCAGAGCTCAGCAATAGTCATCCAATGGTACCAAATTCATCCAAAATCTTTCCTTAAACTGAAGGGCACGAAGCGGACCAATGGAGCCACAGGCCAGCGCCAAGCAATCGTTGAGAAACGAACAGCCAAACAGCCATCGATGAGCCATTTCGCACCTTTGCAAGATTGGATAAATTGCATACGTGCGACGCACATCCATGGCGCGGAATGTGGTACTCTGACCAGCGGCTTTGATGCACAGCAGACAATCAAAAGAAGCAAGTGCGTATGCAAAGGTTACCTCCATCCTGGCTCACGCATTGTGGAACTGTAAGGGAAGACGTGACAGCTTTCGAGTGCGACAGGCACAGCGAGCAACTGGGATGCGACACCGAGCACGAAGTAATGAGCAAAAGTCTGCATCACTCGCCTTCAACCCGCTTCCAATTTCCGCATCAAGGGGAAGAGCTTCACCAAAGTCGCACATCCAGCCACTGACGCCCGTGGACAGCACCTCATCCATTATCACCCTCTTCAACCAAGCTCTTGCTTCAGGGTCACTCAAGTCCATCATGGTGGCGTTTAGGTAAGACAAGAAGATGCCACCGTCTCCCTTGCGCACAACGTAACCCTCGTCCATGGACTCCTGGAAGAGGTCCCTGCTGTGGCCGGGATATCCGTGTGCAGGCACGAGATGTGGGTTGACGTACGTCATGACACGCACATCGCGATCTCGTAGCCACTCGACCATTTTAGGAAATTTGGGGTATAGAACGTTGTCCCATTGCCAGTCCCACACGAGGCCAACCCCCCATGGAACTTTTCGAGCTCCTGAACACACACCGCCTTCTTTACACAACGCCACTGCGCCTCAGTGGCAACCCTTGAGTTACACACAGTCTGTGCACTTGCGGGCAATGGAAATCCAGTTTACTGTCTATCCATACTCGGCAATACGACGCTGTTGCCATTTTCCAATTATATACCCGAGTCTGAGGCGAGAATTTAATTGCTTGGGAGTCACAAGAATACAGAGCACATATATACGTGAAAGTGGTGCCTTCAGGATCAATCTGACTTGTGATCCACGCAACGCCTTTTTGGGAGCCAGCTCAATCATTGACCACTTTCCGTCGAAGCAGTATAGCAACAGCTGCGGTAACGAACATTGCTATGTTAGACGTGCAAGGAATGTATCCAAGGTACGGGTAATACCGTCCTTTTGGAATCGCTGTATCACCTGTGACAGCCTCCAGAACGTAACGGATTATATGTGGGCTTCGCATTGGTACACTATGTGTTTGTCTACCTTCCGTGTAGTATTCCGCCGCAACGTGCACAGGCCCTGCCTACATCCTAACCACCTTCGAAGTGGCCGGTGGTACGTGCAGTCAGGTTGGCTGCCTTCAAAGCAAGAGTGAATTTATCTACGCCATGTACACCCAGCAAGTTCAGACGTGCAGGGTAGATCGTTCAAATCAGATGCAACAATACGCGCCACGCGCAATACCATGCGGCCAAGGTTTTGGTCTCAGTTTAGGGTCCACTGTTTGGCACCTCACCGACCCAGTCTTGGAGCCAAAACGCAGTCACCGGAACATCGTAATCTTCCGTGAGGAGACGATACATGTTCAGTACTTCTTCCCGGCCGCCTTCCATGCCCACAACGGCCCCGCCGACCAGCCACGGCGGCAAGGGGCTCATTCGTCCTGCCGATCATGCGACACAAACTCACGACCTCCCATAGATAGTTGCCTCCAAAACTGGACATAGACAGCGCTGCGACATAGAGATAAATCACCAGCCCATAAGGAGCTCAAATCGAAATAAGAGGTGAATAGGACTCTGTTTTGTCTTTCGGCAACGCTGCTGTTACTATCAATATAGTTAACTCTTCACTGGGAACATGGAAGTACCCTGTGATGTAGCTTTGGCATTTAAGTGGACAATGCAGGCCTGCGTTGAGAATGAACCGAGCATTTGAATTTAACGTATGCTATTCCACTCCCAGCAGCTTTTCCCTCCATTCAGGACGTTGAACTTGCCTGCGTAGGTGGTGAAACTTCGTATCAGCTCGAGGGGCGTGCTCCCATACACCAATTTCCCTCTCAAGACCAAGGCAGATACTTCAACTTCTACAACACTGTCGTTTCGCAGATCAAACACCGAATACTCGGTATTTTCGAGGTACACGGACCGCAACTGAGACGTAATGTAATGGGGGACAGGGCTGTAAGAGACTGCCCATGAGTCGCTCGTGACGCTTATCCCTCTCCCAGGTCCTGGCTCCCTGACGAGGATTGGAACCCTTCGGCCCTTTAAATCGAAGTAAGAAAACTGCGGTGCAGCACACAACCAATTTCAAGCATGCCAAATTGACGCGGTGTAAGCGGCGTACTACAATTTCATAACCGCACATCCCAATGTCATACGTGCGTCCTGTCTTCAACCAAGCAGCGGATTTCACCACCGAGCGAAGAGTTCATATTCCACCATATAAAAGCTGCGCTGCCGGACAGATTCGAAGCACCCAATTCCCAGACACTGTTTAGAAGGCAGTTCATTCAACGTGAAGCTATGTAGTTCGCCTCGTGGTAGCTCGAGTTGAATTTTAAGACGCTTCCTTCCTACCTCATAAAAATGCAAATAGCCACAAACACACCACTTGTGCGAATATCCACCAACAAATACACGTTCGCGACGATGCTGAGCTAAATATTTCATGCCCAGATCTCCATTTGCCCCTGGATCACCGGCAGTTTGAAACACTGGAACGGTCGCAAGCATTGCACCCAACATCATTCCAGGAACGTTTTCAATGCCGTGTGCTTTGGGCGTCGGAGCGTCCCACCAAGCTTGGGAGCCCGAGATGCAAGCCCGGTGTTCGCGGCAAGGGCCGTGGCCGTTCTCAAAATGGCGTGCGATTGAGCATTTTGGTAAACTTCGTCGGCGACGCATTGCAGGTGGCCCCCAGGCAATTTTTAACTCAATGTTCTAGGCACCCAGCAAAACCGCTTTTTGTAAAAAATGTGATTTATCTCTTTCAGCAGTGAATGCTATGTCTCTTGGTACTCCTTCTGTGACTTTAGACCGCGGTGCACACTCCGATCATTATGATTTCAACATTTACCGATTCGAAACATGGTCAGTTCGATATCGAATGAAGCATCGATCCCACCCTTTTCTTTTTCATGCAAGTACGCCAACCCTCGAGATCCGATGTGCGTTGCAGCGCAGTTTGGAAGGGGAATGTTATTTAATGGGAGAACAGCATGCAATTGAGTCACAATGAAAAGAATATTTCTAACCTGCTCGCCAAACCCGAAGAATCTCTCATGTTTGTTGCTCTGGTAGATAAGCACAATTCGATCAACAGCTTCATGTTCGGGCAGAGTCTGCACACGCGCCTTGAAGCCCAACTGCCCATATGTCTTGTTGCCATCGAACATAGTAAACGTGTAGTTCATATGAATTCCATGGCACTCAGGCTCTGAGTTCGGATCCCAGCACAGAATGCCTTTGTACAGCACAAATGCTCTTGTTGTTTTCAATGAAGCAATTATCTGAAGCACAAATTCCCTAATTCTCAACCAGCAAGGCAGGTCCTTTCTGGAGAAATACTGAATACAAATGCGACAATGCACAAGTCCCCGGATGAAGTCAGCGCATGCTTGGAAATGCGTGCTTTCGGCATTTGAAAAATAGATATTTGCCCCCCGACAAGCCACTTGGACACCGCCAACGCTGCACGCGAATAACAGTTGAACCCGCTTTCCGCTAACCATTTTTTCTCGGGCTGCTGCAGCTACAACTTTGCTGACGTTAAAGCGCTTTTGCCCGTCATCCAGTTGGATTCAATGTGCGCGTGGCAAATATATCAGGATGACAGTACGATGAGGTGTAGTGTTGAGCCAAGCGTGTTTGATAATGCCGCCAAGGCGACGTTCGTGCGGGGACGCATTGGGTTGCGTTGCCCAGTGGCCTCTGCCCCAGTTTGTTTGAGCAGCTTTGTCAATTATCGAACAATGCAACATTTGAGAATCCAGCTGCAATCGCCACATCAGCCATCGCCAGCTCCAACCGCCAGGTCCAACCGCCACGTCAGCAATGCCGCTCAAGTTCCCAGAGTTGCTCCAAACCCAACGGACACGGAGAGCAGCAAGCCATGGGCAACAGCAGCACGACGGCTATCGACTTCCCCCAACGTTGTGTCGAAATCCCTGGCCACGCCTGCGCGCTCTCACCAGCCTTGGCCAGTCTTGGCCACGCTCTTTCCATCCCTTTGCGCATTCGCGCGGACAAGTGCCAGCAAATTGAGTCGGCCAACGCGGCAACTTTTGCATACCGGTCGCGCAACGAAAGGAAACAGCGCAGGGATTCCGCCCACGTTGATGAAATGATCCGAGGGCAGGCGACGATCCCACCGTGTCCAGAAGGGTATTGATCCACATGTCCGACGCATGACAGCACGCTTGACGGTTCACCGGTTGGTCCCGGCCAGTGTGTTCGTCGCCAGTTCCTGCAGGATGCCCGCGGGACTTCGCTGGACAGCAAACTTCTGTGCAAAAGGCGGGATGACGTGTGCCCGCCACAGTCACCTTCAAAGACGACGCCCCCATCGCTGTCGACGTGGATACGCTCGACGGTCTGCAGCGGCGTGCGCTTCTGCGGCGACTCTCTTATGGAGAAGCTCCCATCGCGCTGGAAGATGCTGTCGTTTGTCTGTGCCGCCACCAAGAACGCACAGCCTGGCACTGAAGACCACACGTCCTTTCCCGTTCCAAGCCACGACACAGATATGAATGGCGGCCCATCGCTTTGGCTCCCATGCCAGTTGACCTCAAAGCCAGCCACGTTCCACTGTCCACTGGGCGCATCAGAATACAGCACGGCTTCGGTGGCGGCACAACGAGCCGCACACAGCACGCGAACCAACAGCAGCGGCCACAGCCAGTGTGGGGGGCAGGAGGGCCGCATCTTGGGACGAGGGGAGCTTCTCTGGTCCGACATGGCTTTAATGCAAGGTCGCATTGTTCATGCCTCCGCAGGCGCCATCTGCTGGCCGGAGCGCCACTTTGCGGTTTGCGCCAGTACTAGCGGTGGGCACAAACGAGCGTTTCGTTCGCGCCGAAACGCCAACGTAACCTGAATCACACTTTTACGTCCCCGTTTGCAGAACCCAAACGCACAACACTGGCAGAAAACGGCATGTCTGCGATGCAAACTGCGATGCTATTTTGACATAAAGTGGTGCCGTCATCCTGATTGCGATGGCATAAAAGTGGCTGCGATGGCATCAATTATTGTGTCAAATGGCGTCGCAATTGGCATCGCAGACAGGCTGTTTTCCACTGGTGCAATGCACGTTCACGCTCCCGTTTTGAAAGACCAAACTTGAGGCTCACGTTTGCGTTTCCGTTCCAAAGCTCGAACGTACAGTACGCGTCTGCATTCCCATTTTGAAAGGCCAAACATATCCTGTGCGTTGCCTTGACGTTCGCCACCCAGGTGCACACAAAGACCGTGGTGTCGTGATTCGGTGTCTTTTTCTTATTTTGATGTCGATCCGGTACTATGTGATTTTATCACGTTGCTTGTGTTGGGTTTTCATCCAGTTATGGTTGCTTCGTCGGTTCTGCAGGCCTACCCATCCAACAAACATCTTGCTCGGCCAGCCCGATCGTCGTGCATAGTGTGCACTGCCAACACCCAGCCGACCCAGTGGCCAAAAATGGTGGGTGCTGGGTTGAATTCCCGTTTCATTGGAAGCATTACAAACGCATTTGTCTACTGGACGTCAGCGTTAACGCTTTCCCAAATCAAACGTCGGGCGCGCGTTCCCGTTTTGAAAATCCCAACGCCTTGCACACGTTTGCGTTTCCGTTTTGGAAAGCCAAATGTAGTGGACATGTTTACGTTCCCGTTTCAGCCGCCTATGCCCGCCACTGGCTTGTGCGTTTAAAATCTCTTTTTAGTGCGGTTTGTGATCCCTCGCCGTCGCAACAATATTTCCTGCTCGTGGCTCACGCAGCGACTGTGTAGGAGCCACGCTCAAACAGCCACCAGAATCCAATTGTTAAACCAGCCTCCCAGTGCAGCTGCCCTTTATGGCTGGTGAGGAGCTGCTGCTACCTCACTAATGTAGATATCCGACCCTTTCATGAGATTCTCAATATTTGAGGCACTATGAATGCCTCTTACTCGTTATTTCTGCCATTGATCTTTGTAAACGAAGCCAAAAAAATCGCCACATTATTCCATGACTTCCGGCCCACTACGTCAATCAGGTGCTGCCGAAGCGAGGCACTTCAATTTAGTTTTCGTAAGCAAACGGGGCTCACCAGTAAAGTCAGAATGGCTCCACCGATGCATCTCAGTCCTTGTCAGTCTAAATCACATGTCGGTTGATGTTCACCACAGCCACCCATATGCAATCAGGCAGCAGCTCGGCCCAACGACCGCACAGTTCGTGGATTCACATCGATCGCCTCTGTGTTGTAACAAAACCTTGTAACAATATTTGCGATGCTTGCTTAACCTCAGCCAACTTGGCTGCGTGGCGACTGCTATGGCTGCGTTCAGTTTCTGATAATCACAGTTGGTGATCACTCACAATCACGTTTTTACTGGCTAATCAATGCAGCAATTGTCACAGCGACTCTCGCTTCGACTTGTGAGTCGACATTCAGTCACCATTACAGCAGTATTTGACTTTCTTGGCGAAGTTACGTCACTAGCACACCAGCACAACCCCAGCCACCAAGAATGGCAAAATTCTGGTGTGTTAGGTGATTATGTTAATTAGCCACTAACTACCCAACACCCCAAAAGACTCTGGTGGTGCTTTGTCCGAGCCCCGCAAGCTTTCCAGTCTATTACATTATGAGCTAGTAATAAAGTGCGCTTGGTGCCCCGCAGGCGTTCCCAATAGGACACAATGGTAATACTAGTAGTTGAGCAAGCTTGGGCCCTTGCAGGTGTTCCCAATAGGACACAATTTCAGTAATTTTTTGCTCACGTAATAGGATTGTATGACTTCCAAACACTCACAAGAACACCTCAGAATCACACAGCACCCCTCCACGGGTTGCGTGCTGTAATCGATTCTTGACCCAAACCAATGGTTATTACAATGTTTGTCTGGTTGGTTCCTTGGGACCACCTTTGGGTCAGTTATGTTGGCGGAAAAAAGGGGCGCCGCTCCCCTATTTGTAGTCCGCGGGGCGCCCCCCCCCCCCCCAAATCCGAATATTCCCTAAATATTCGTTCGCATCTTCCAGTTCCGAACTGGATTTTGTAATTCGCGCAACCCTCACCTGAATCAGTCCCGCACACTTGCACACATCCAATGTATCAATGAAATCACTATAGCTCGCATCTTAGCGTAATCCGGCTCCCTATGGTGGCGCGGTTTCACCCTCGTTGCCTAGATCCCTCCAGATCAGCGTAGATTCCACTCAGATCCCACTGACACATAAAAAAGTACAATACCACAGTCACACTGTATGTCCTGGCTTACCCATATCATGCCGTTGAACCACCTGATCATGAATCAGCTCTATTCACTCAAACACCATCCGCAGCACCTTTTACGAAGTATAGAGTGCGGATTACTAACCCTTTCAGTCAATCTTTATGAACGGCACCTTACTGTAAGAAGGTCCCGCTGCTTCCTTTCGGTTACCGGACCTTCACAGCTTGAGTGCGAATATCCATTCCATCCATGTTTGTTGTCGCCATCGGTGCCATCCTCCGCAGCCCTTGCTGTGTTCCTTGCGCTTGCCGCGTCCGACCGATCTGCCATCGCGCCGCGGCGACCACGCCATCGGCAAGGTCGTTGACTGCCCGTCCTTGCCCGCAACCAGGTCCAACGGTACGCAGGCCTGGCCCTGTTCCATGCCTCCCCCTCGAACCGGCCGCGACGTGAGGCGCTGCCCAGGGGACAGAGTTCTGCCCGGTCGCGAGCTCCCACGGCCGGTCAGGCCACTCGCTGCGTGTCGCACATACTCGCAGCGCGTGGTCGGGCTCCCGGTGTCCGCTCAGAGCGCTTCGTACGACATGGCGACCTGTCAGGTCAATGACAGATGTGACACACTTCCAGGGTCGTGTGCGGTGTACGGCATGCTTCAACTTGCCTGCCAGTACTCTTTCCTTGCATTTGGGATGTGCCACAATGCACCAGTGCGTCACACTGGCCTTTCAAGTGCGCAGGACGTACACCAACTCCTCCTATGCCATTTTAAATGAGCAGTACTAGGGGCACGCCACTAGCCTGTGACAGCGATTTTAACAGCACGTCAGCCATCCGTCAATGATTATTGTCATTTACCATGTAATGCCCAGCAGCAATATCCTATATTCAATGAGTCCAGAACGCTCTTGTTCAAGCTGTAGATTGCGTCATACTGATGCAGTACTCAACCATTTTCAAGGCTGTTAGTTTCATGGAGAAACAGGCAGCATTCTGCCGGCCATCCCCTCCGTTTCCGGCTACTTACATGCCTGATGTTCTTGCCCTATAGTACATTGTGATCAGCTATTTTTGAAGGCATATTCCGGTCATGAATTGGGCGTCACTTCCACTAGAAAGTCATGGTTTCCATCTTTCTATTCATGTCTAATTATACAGCTGCATTTTCGGAATAATTATGCAGCATTTTCTCCCATATTTTTTTGCTTTTGCTGCAGTGTTCAATTAGATTTCGTTGTAATTGTTTCGGAATCTGTTTGTCTCAGAATTTTGCTTGCCCTTCCGACCACTGCAGGCCGTGCCGTCATAATGTTGGTCATGATCGCATGACCTCTGCCTATTTGCCATGGTAGGCACCCGATTCTGGGCCGGTGACTTTGACAACTAATGCTTAATCTACTAGAACTATTAGAGCATGCCATATCTCGTTCTTGGCCATGCTTTACAAGTTTTCCCTTTCTTCTGACTGGTCTGTCTTGGTGGCCCAGTCAGTTGCCATATGTCAGTCCTGAGCCCGTTCTTTGTGATGGCGTTGCTCAGTGACTAACTGCATCTCGAACACAATGCTAACACATCCCACATGTACGCAAATTTCACTTTGGCCTGTGCTCACCACAGAGTTACTGGCATTTTGCGTCCCAGAGATGTTTAGGAGCGAGAAGAGTCTCAAATCTTCTACCGCAACAAAATAGCTCAAGAAGCGGGACAAGGGAGAGAAACGGAGTGCCGGCTACCCCCAAAGCCTCTTTGAAGGTGTTCACTGACACTCGCTGCAGCCCGGGAAGGTTGTGGGCAGTAAACCGCCCTCGTCAGTGGCTGGGACCTGAGGTCACCTGGCGCCCCCTGTTACGCCTTGACAAGACCAGCCAAGGATGCAACGTCAGTTGAAGAATCTGAGGGTCACAATCAAATTCTCTCGCCCATCTCCAAGCCTAAAGTAACGTAGTTTGCTGTGTGCATGCACCAGTTGCGCTTTAAAAACTATGGGACATTGGTAAGCTTTTGCTGTGTGTATGCTCCAGTTGCGCTTCAAACTATGGGGCATTGGTAAGTGCTGGTGCAAAGGTTAAGGCGGGTGGGTGATCTGGGCAATCTGCAACGGACATACATAGGTGCCAGCATGTGACCTTTCACACGACTCCTGTGGGAGAAACGGAGCCTTGGTGGTACGGATCCATATCAGTAATCGTTGGTCTGATTTGTGATTATTGTTGGTCTGATCTATCAGACGAACTGTCAGTGCGTAATGTGCCTTGGCACACATGACAACTTGGGTCCGGGGCGGCCAGTATAGTGGCCCACAACCCTTGAAGTGCTGCGACTTTCCGTGCATTCACCTCATACCAACTCGCAAAGGTAAAAGGACTAGAACATATCCTTGTAAGATGTCCAAGGGCCACATGGCGTAATTGTCCAAGCCAACAATGTAACCATCAAAAGTGGTGGCATGCTGCTCAAGTACTGCGAAGTGACTGTGGCATAGAGTTTATACGTAAGCCAGAGCATTAGGTGCGAATTTGTTACGCCGGGGGGTGGGAGTGCTCACAACAGGCCTTACGAAATGGAAATTGCAAGAGGTGGTGAATATGACGCGCCATGAACAGTTCGCCGCTAAGATGTTGCATGACGTGGTTGTCCATTAGCTGTCGTTTGGGCCTTCTATCGTAGCAAATAGTGAAGAATTCGGCTGGGCCCCAAGGATCACATCGCGTTACTTGGACCAAAAGGGCTCCGCTGGAAGCACGTGTTGAAGGTGCAAGTCGTATGCAGCAGGACAGAGCACGCGTCCTTGAGGACCCGTTGCACGTCGGTTAGTAATGCGTGGCAAGGCAACCCAACGTGTGAACGATTGGGCGGCAACACACATGAAATCACTAGAGTTCCATGAGGGCAATGATGTGAACACAAATGCTGTTTCTGCACTGGGAGCATGTGATGCCCACTTGCGGCCCTGGACTGCAATCTGCGGCGCTGGCTTCGGACTATATATTATATTAAATCAATGATCAAATGAGTATCTTTGCAGCATTTGGGACTCCAGGTGGCTGCACAGGGGTGTGGGCAATTGCACAATATTAGTGGTCCTATCCATCGGCGGTCGTTTGGTCGGGAATTACACCCAAGCAAGGACCTCGGTCTGGTCCATGGATCAGTCCCGTAATAGGTTCGCTCTTCTTCGGTTTGCATTTCCGAACTAATACAAGGTTGCTTGGCAGGGGCATCGGGCAATGCCACGCAGAAAGGCACCTTGTCAAGCCTGTCTCGAAATGTATACCAGGGTGGGACGCTGCATTGGTTTTAATCTTGAAATACAAATAATTTTAAATTACGCTACATTCGTCCGCCTTGACTCTTGATTCCAGGATCCCTCTTTGCATCCCCAGTCAAAAATACCCCCCACTTGTGTGCATAAGAATTCCTGCCAGTGCCCAACTCTATTGGAGTTCACAAAGAAACCCCCACTTGCATACAAGCCAGAGCTTCCCTGCCATATGTCATCCCATACTGCGGCAGCTCACTAAGCCGCGACTACCTGCATTGAAGCCGACTCTAATTGGCCAATCTTGGGGGTCAGTAGTACGTCAGGGACCTTCTCTGGGGCCACCATCGGCGGTACGGGACCAGAATCATCCACCCTAGACTGATCGCTAATCTTACCGCCCCCCATGTCGCCCACAACATCACAACTACCACCAATGGCTTGAGCCTCTGCCCGGGTCTTCCACGAAACACACTCCGGGTGCTTGTCCTTGATGCACTTCACAAGATCGTCAACGACGTCGCACTCAGCGCAAAGGCTCTCCAATGCTGCTGGGGACATCACCCTGTCCGGAAAGACGCTGGCAATGCTCTGCTTGTCTGCCTCTGCCAGTGCTCCAAAGTAGTGCTCCGCCATCTGGAGCGCCTCCTCCAGTCGCAGGTACCCGAGATAGATCTGTTTGTTGATCCTGCCAGGTCGTATCAGAGCTGGGTCCAATTTTTCTGGATGGTTTGTTGTCATGACCTGCGCCACGGCCAGCGACGGCTTAGGCGGCATTTATCGGCCAAGCCGAATGAAGAAGACGCACGTTTATGTCCGAGGATACCGCTCGGCACTGTGGGAGATTTCAAATGTCAATCGTTGCTGAAAAGCAATTGCTGTTCAGCAACATTTGACAATGACACGGTTGCGCAATTACCCGGTGGATTGCTTCAACCACGCAAACAACATCAATACCTACCAGCACTCCATTGACCACAACAATAATGATACAGAAAGAATGCGTGTGTGTGGTAATGCAAGTCGGGCACCACTCACCACAATCCTGTTTGGGCAGTCCACCACGCCATCCAGCACGTTGAGCACCCCTGCAAGGTTGAGGTCATCGCTCTCTGCCATCAGCTTGTCCAGATAGGCAGAGGTGTATACCTTTGCTTCACCCTTTTCACTGCTGGGGCTCGCAGGGGGGTCGCCATCCTTGTCGTCTTCGCCCTTCTTCTCATCGTCTTTCTGTTCATAGAACACCAAACGAAGTGCGTTGAGACATGTGTTCAATAATAACGATCGTCAACAGGAAGCCAAGTACTGCAGATTCTGAATCGCTGCGATACGCCATGGCCTATGGTTCATTGGGAAAGTAACAAGGGATACCTGCGGGTCATTCTCTGGACCAACTGCAGCCTTTTCATATCTGGCCACCGCGCCTGCTCGCCTTTTGACCACATCACATGCGGCATCAATGTCTTCCTGTTGCACAAATCAAAACGTCAGTTTGACATAAGGTATGAATGGCATTGAAGTGCCCTACATTGCACATCTGACTATATATAAGCTCCACTGATTGTGCCAAAGAAATTCTGTAATAACCAGGTATGCATGCTCACAATTCAGATGACACTGCTCCATGGTGAGGTTGGTGTCATCTTCTGAGCCAAATCAAACTCACCATGACAAAGATTGTCTTCTTGAACGGGAGCTTGTAGTTCCAGCTGTCACCTTCTACGCTGCACGCCTGGTTGAAGACGAGGTCCATCAATTCTTGATTTGTCCGCACCCTTGACAGTGGGATGCTGATGATGTGGCGGTGTGTGTATTGCGCAACAGCCTACACATGGTGGCCACAAAGAATCAGAACAGAAAGCATGAACAGCAAAGCTGCAGCCCCGAAGATCAAGGCAGCGCGAAGGCGCCGATCGAATGATGCAATATTCCAGGGCTGTTGTTGCACGGGAGCTGCATGGGATAACCAAGATGACACAAACATCTGAAACCTGGGATTTGTCGGACAAGGCTCTTCGTAATATCCAATTGCAAAGCTTGTTTTCCAGAGTTCCAATGTTGAGCATTGTGCCAGCAAGTGCCTACCTTGATCAATGATGTCTTGCCTGTGCCTGGGGGCCCATGCAACAATACTCCGAGCTTATGCGGGTACCCAGGGATCGCAAACTTCCCTCGTTTGTTCGCAAAATGATCAATCAGCCTCAAAAGTTCTTCCTTTCCAGGATGAAAGAATGAAGCAAACGTCTTTTCTTCAGACAACTGGTACCGCTTGTAGATCATGCCACTCTTGGAATCTTCGTCATTTGGCGATTTTGTGTATGAAAACTGGGGGGTGTAGAGATACCTGCAGCATCGAGCACATTTTTTATCGTCGTGCAGAATTGGGTCGACAGTATCACCACGCCAAGCACCACAATGGAAATGGCTGAAACACTGGCTGCACTGCACTGTCACTGCACATCAAGAGCCAAAGAAGCTTCCATGCCCTTGTGTCGCCCACCTGGCTGTGTCCTTCTTCTGTGCCATTTTGCTCTTGTACAAAGCGAGTGCCCTGTCCACAAAGTCGTCGATTTTGGACTGCCCATCTTTCAATGCCGACTGGAAAGTGAACGTGACAATAGTTTTTCCCTTGTTGTCTCCGTTGTCTGTTTCATGCTGAGACCTGAGGACATGAGAATGTGGGGCATCAACAAGGGTGCAATGGACACTGTGAATACGCTGCAGCACATTTAAAGCAGACAGCAACAGTTCAATAGCATTCGTGCTCCATTAATGAGCGATGGAGCAAAACCAAACTTACTTCATGAATTCAATGCCTGGTTCGACATCGAACCAGATGCCCTCTGGTGGCACGATCTGGATCCTGTACTGCCTGATTTCGTCATTTTTGCCGCAGTCAGAATCCGACTCTGAGTCATCAGCATTGTCCACTTCGTCTGATGGTGCAGTTGTCAATTTGTAGGAAGCATCCTTGAACTTCTCCACAACATCGTGTTTGCCATCTAGGAACATCAGGATGCTTTCCTGTTGGTATTTGCACAAAGGCAATCAGTACCAGTGATAAGACAGTGTGCAGCATGAGGACACAGTCAATCACGATATCTGCAAAAATATTGGTATAGCTTCCAAAAGTCATTGCAGACTGCAACAGGCCTGCTCAGTGTCCAGAACGGGAATGGAGTGCGATGGTGACCAACGGAGTGCAGCTGTCGTTGCGACGTGCGACTCTCCGCACAACCATTGCTCACCTGTAGAACCTTGTTCCTGTTGTTGTCGCTGTCCGAGTACCAATACCAGCCCTGGTGGCGTGTGTACTCAATTTTGCGAACATACTTGCTTGTTGGCTTCTGCCAACTGCGTGCAATCCACTCCTTCAGCTCTGCCCAGTATCCCACTGCGTATTTCAGGATGACTGGCATCATGAACATAAGTGCCATGTCGAACACCATGTTCCCGGTGGATATCTTCTGCATGAGCCCGAACTGGGTAATGAGGCCGGTGTCCAGGTGCTCCATGGCACCTGTGCGTTTCTGAGCCTGCCGTCAAGTCACCTGGGCGCCAAGCAATTCCGGCCTGTCAACACCTTGCGCTGACTACGAAAGCGCCTCAATTTGTAAGCAATGCGTTTGCTGCTGGTGAGCAACGACGCTCGTGCGCTTGTGGCACGCATCTCCCCCACATGGCCAGTGCTTCCAATCTTTCCAACGCTCATACCAGTACTTCCAATCATTTTGAATACCAGCGCGCGGTCGGACATCCACGGGTGATTCGCAGACATCACCGATTCGCAGGCCAAGTGGGTGGTTTCAGGCAGACACCCCCGTTGAAGTGCATGTCGCGCGCAACGGTTGGTTACCAAACATGCCGGCAAATATCCGCAACTGCAAATGGGAACAATCCCTCCCTCCCATGGTGTTCGTGCAGGCGAGGTGTCAGAAACGAGCCCGGCGCTGCGCACTGGTCGTCCGCCAAGGCCAGCAGCGCGAAGGTAAGCATGCGGCAATGGCGGGAGGCGGCCCGCCCACTACGAAAACGGTGTCGCGCAGCAGGCTCCGCTCCATTCCCCCGAGCAAGGCTTAAGCGCGGCACTTCGCACAGCCCTCAAGACCGCAAGCGCGCGGGCATTGCGCGAGTGGATGTCCACCCACCTGGCGATGGTGGACCCGTGAGTTTCAGCGCCTGTGCCAAGGACGACCCAACGCGCTATTTGAGCCCCGGGACACCAGCTCACCAGCTACGGGGTACCTGTACCGCAGGGTGCCGCGGGCATCCAGCACGCAGCTGTGTGGGTGTGCACGCACCCCTGGCCTCAAGGGGGCTCTTGGAAACGGTGAACACACGTGGCCAAGAGAGTTGTAGTGATGGTGGCGCACCGCGTCCCGCTGTACGTGTCCCAATTTTAGTGTCCCGCTGCACGCTTCCGGTTAAATGTGGAGCTCCACCTGCCGTATCTCTACATCCCGCGATACGGCCCGTTCAGTGGCCTATCTACGGATGCGCCTCAGACAGACGCGTCTAAGTCGCTGGTACCCAGCCGCTGTGCCCGGAAGTCCGCCAACCCACCCCTCGCGGCGCCGACGCCTTCACGGCAACGCGCAAACGCATGCGCGTTGACGATTGGGCTTTCGCCTGACCCACCCCGCGCAAGATCGCGCCTACCAGCGCCGGCCAGCGATCGACGCCAGCACAAAGCGCAACGTGCAAGACAAATTCGGGCCACACGACGCAATAGAAAAAGACGAGCGATGAGCTCTCGCCAGCCTAGGGGCACACACTCCGCAAGCAAGATCTTGGGACAGAGATCAACACCGATCGACAGAAAAACGCGCCAACCAACAGCAACACATTCCCACAACCCATGTCGCCGTAAATTGATGGTGTTTGCGTACAAACTGGAAGGCCACAAGCTGAATTTGAATACAGAGAAACGGCCAGGCTTTCAAAAAAGCCAACAATGGTGTGTGACAGCCTCGCGAAGGCAATGGCTTCTTAAGACATGCCGCCCGCCAGTGTTGCATATTTCGGCCCAATGTCAGACTTTAGGGCCCCTGATAGCTCGCCATTGCTCACAAAAGCGCCCCGTTCTTGTCTTGCACACCGCGCCTCATCCTCAGAGACCTTGGCTCGTCACGATTGGCGACCAGCACAGCGCCGCGAATGGGACCCCGGGGCGCGATCTTGCGCGGGATGGGCCAGGCGAAGCCCAATCATCAATGTGCAAACGCAGGCGCGTTGCCGTGAAGGCGCACGCTCCGCGCGGGGTGAGTTAGCGGACTTCCGGGCAGAGCGGCTGAGTCCCAGCGACTTTGGCACGTCGGCCTAAGGCACAAGCGTAGACAGGCCGCTGAGCGCACCGTATCGCGGGATGCAGAGATACGGCAGGTGGAGCTCCGCGGGCCACATTTGACGGGACGCCCAGCGCACATGACAGGTCACCGATATCATCCAGCCGGATCTTTAGATATGTAGACATGCTTTTTAACTGGATGACACAGCAAGACTGGCAAAGGAGCCCCCAATGGTGCAAGAGCACAAGTACCAGTGGACCACATGACAGAGCTCTAGCTTCCCTGGGGCTGGAGTGCAGTTGTGCTGTTTGTTCACTGGCACTGTTGAATGCTTCTCTTCTTTTTCATTTGGACCCCACGGGAATCCATGCAACAGTCAAGCAGGCGGCATATGCTTAAGAGTTGTCCCGCTGTGCATGGTGATGCGCATGCACATTGGAAGTAGTTTTGTCAAAGAGGAGTACCAGGCACAGGGTTGGCCAGTGTAGAGAGTCGTGCTTGCTTGTTATGAAGCTCGTGTCCGTGGATAACGGCATCAATTCAGTGCAACCACAGAAAGCTTGAGCAGTCCATGTGCTGATTGGCAAGCTGTGCTTGATCCATTCCATTTCAAGCGAACCAATGGCAATACAAATATGTCGCGATGCAGGTGATGTTCCCCATCATAATTGGTCCCCAGATGCATGTGTTCCATATGCTTCATCCCCGCAGATTAGCGTTTGTGTGGAGCATAACTGTCTGCTAGCATTCAACGATGCCTGTTCGCTAAATACTCTGGGACAGGGCATGTGTCTTAAAGCAGAATGTCCCAGTTCAGCACTGAAGGACACGCAACAGACACGTGCGAAATCAGGCCAGCATTCCTCTGGCCATGGAGAGCAAGTCATGTTACAATTACCCGAAGGGTACTAAGACTGGGGTCTTCCACACCCGAAATTTTTGCTTCAGATCTCTGAATGTCTGCCAGGAGAGCCAAATTTTCTGATGAAAGAAGCTCCCCAGGATACACCAAGGGTATGCCAGGAGGGTACGGACACACTGCCTCACCGCACACTCTTCCAAGTGCATCAGAAAGGCAAACCGTTTCAGTGTCAGCGAAAAATGCTTCCCTTGGAGACAAAACGGTTTCAATGGACGTCAGAGGTCCTGCAAGAGGAGCCTTGTTTACATCTGGAGAAGACTCTTCTCCTATGGCTGCATTGCATGAGGCCATCGCCTTAATGAGAGCTTTGCCATGGCCAGCGTTGGTCCCAGGTCCCATGACAAGGACAACTAACTTTTCTGTTGCAAATTCTGCCACAATGCCTGCCTTCTGCTCCAGCCACTCACCAACGCTATACCCTGTAGTTCCCCAACTTTCCACATTGACAACCACCCTCAACGGGTCAAAGGCATGCACAGAACAGAGCTTTGGCACTGCAGGGCATACCACTGATAGTCCCTTCAACTTTGACAAACCATCGGCTGCCAACCGGGCAGCATGTAGAGGTTCCTCATAGGCAGCGTCCTGGTCTGCCTGTTTTCTGGCAGCATCCAACGAAGAGAGTAGGAGGTATGATGGCGAGCTCGACTGCAACAGTTGTAGGGCTTTTGAAATCTTCACACTATCCACACGGCACCCTCGCAGGTGCAGCATTGCAGATTGAGTGAGTGAGGACATCATCATGTGTGTGGAATGCACAACAATGTCTGCCCCACATGCCAGGGCTGGAGAGGGACAATCCTGATGAAAATGTAGATGCGCCCCATGGGCTTCATCCACGATCAGGGGCACCCCATGACTGTGGCACACATTAGCCAAGGCCTCGATGTCACATATGGATCCGTAATATGTGGGGGACACCACAACTACAGCCCCCACCCTGCGGCCTTCACTAGCTGCACTGTCAAGAGTGGTGTGAAGATCTCTTGCAATTATACCATGCACAATGCTGTTGGTGGCATCATATTCAGGCTGCACATACAGAGGGAAGCATCCAGCCAGGACAAGGCCACTGAATACTGAGGAATGGCAGTTGCGGGCAACAACAACAGTCGCTCCTGGGTGGCTTGTTGCGAGCACAGCTGCTTGGAGCCCCACCGTGCAGCCATTGACAAGGAACCAAGTCTTCGTGGACCCAAATGTCTTCGCTGCCAAGCTCTGTGCTTGATCAATGACCCCTGTTGGTGCTGAGAGATAGTCCAATCCTGGGATCTCCGTCAGATCGTGCCTGAGGGCTTGCTTCCCCATGATCTCGACCATGCCGTCACTCGCGCCCATCCCTCTCTTATGGCCTGGCACATGGAAGGGGACTTCGTACAGCTTCCTCCCTCGCTCCTTCACAGCAGTCAGCAACGGGGTTTCTTGCGAAGAGCTGCACGGACGTGACGACGTCTGGCACGCCTGCAGCCTCATACGTGAAGAGACACTACGCCTGCACCGCCTGGAGTGGCAATGAGGCGACCGACTTGGGACTGCGCCGGCCAAGTCCAAGGCACTATTTGTAGGGGAGTGTGGCGGTGTCGGGGCTCTGAGGGCATGGCCCAATTCGCCTTGGGGCGGGATGATCTACGCCGACAGTTATCATTCGACATGATTTGCAAATTTAACACGTGTCTTCCACCCACATTTGCGCGTGAAGGACTGCTCAAAGCGCAAAAGGCGACTCAGGACGCACTGAATATCGGCGGAAGCGGCAACGAAGACAGAGTTTGTTGATCCCACTTGATTTCGCTCTTCTGCAGACTTCCAACCATGTGTTACTGGTTCACGAGGACACCCAGCATTTGGCACAATGGGCACTCTGGGGCTTCGACAGGCAACGAAATGCTGGCAGAAGAAGCCCTGAAGTAGGTGTGTATGGCACGACAACTTTGCTGCATTGTGGGCAGCGGTACAACGTTATTCAGTGCCCCAGAAACTCATTTCATTCTCTTCACCCAAACGTCAGCTTGCCTCAAACGAGGTTGTATTTCCACCATGCATGCGATCATTGCCATCCAAGGCACAAGGTTGTGCAACAGTTTTTCCAGAATTTAACTGTATCAGTCAACGTGCCAAATATGGCACAGACACCAAAAGATGCCGAAGTGCATTGTTTCCAGGGATTCTGTTTGCAGGGATTATCGAATGAGAGTCAACGGTTGCAATGCACCCACGCATCATGTGTGGGAGGACTTCAGACACCGACTACAGCAATAATTGAGCGTCATCCTAGTGCTTCAGAGTCTACACATATTCTCATGAG